AAAACAAAACTTTTTTAGGGGCAGGGATTTAGCTCAAGTGCTGCACCTGCCTCGCAAGTGCAAGGTCCTGAGTTTGATTCGTGGTACCAGAAAAAAAATTTTTTTAAGGGCAAAGGATGTAGCTTGCTGCACCCTGGGTTCAATGTCAAGTGGGGTGGAGGAAGAAGAAAAAGAAATAATTCTGAAACATTAGAAAGGAAAGCAGAACAGAAGGAATGAAATATAAGTAAATGAAATAGAGTTCTTATTTTCTTGAGTTTACTAAATAGTGCTTGATGGCTGAAGACAAAAAGACAAAAGGGCTCAAAGGCAAGTGACTGTTTCAGATTTTACTCAGATTATTAGAATGGAATACACAATAAAATAGTATTCAGCCATAGAAAGGAATAAAGTACTGAAGATATTATAACATGGACAAATGGCCGGGGGAAGGGAGGTGCACACCTATATTAGCAGCATTCTGGAGGCTAAGGCAGGAGGATTGCCACGAATTTGAGGCCAACCTGGACTACATAGCTAAACCCTGTCTCAAAACAAAATCAGATGAACTTTGAAAACATAATGTTAATTCAAAAAGCCAGGCACAAATGTCACCTATTATATGATTCCATTTATATAAAATGTCCAGAATACACAAATCTAGAGATGGAAAGTAAACATGTAGTTGCTTAGGACTGATACCGGGGGAGTAGGCTGAGTAGTTAGCATAGGAACTGTACTTGGGGTGATGAAAATGTACTAAAATTAGATTGTGATGATGTCTGCATAACTGTAAATATGCTAAAAACCATTCAATGACTATTAGTTCAATGGTCTAAACCACTGAAATAACAACCATTGAACACTTCAAATGTGTGACTTTGAATCAAGCTGTTTTTAAAAACAAATCATAGATTTAAACCTAAAATATAAAACTATAAAAATTTAAACAGAGAGCTCAGGCTTTTGAAGAGTTCTTAGACATGGTATCAAAAGCAGGATCTAAAATATTTTTTAATCAATAAACTGGACTTCAAAAGTAAAAGTGTTTGCTTTACAAAAGACCCAAATTTAAGTCAGGCATGGTGGTGCATGCCTGTGATCCAAGCTACTAAGGAAGTGAAGCAAGAGAATGGCAAATTTGAGGCCAGTCTGCACCCTGTCTCAAAATAAGATTTAAAAAGTGCTAGAGATATAGTTCAGTAATAAAATGATTGCCTAGCATGCAAGAGGCCCTGGGTTCATTCCCCAATTAAAACAAAAACAAGTATGAGGCTAAAATTATGGTGTACCCAGTATCAGTCTAAAATCGTCCACTCATTTGCCAGGTAAGAGATCACCAGTGGAAGGCAGGGAGGCCCATGAATTTACAGCCCCCAACCTCTGCACTGGTGACTGACATGATTCTGTCAAACTTGGGTTGGCACATTTTTTCTGTAAAAGGCCAAACAGCAAATATGTTAGGATTTCCAAGCCATGTGGTCTCTCTAATGACTATTCAAGTCTGCCACTATAGCATGAACTCAGCAGTGGACAAAATTCAAATGAGTAAGTGTGGCTCTGTTCCAATCAAACCTTATTACTGAACACTAAAATTTGGAATCCACACCATTTTCAAAATATATCTTTACTTTTTGCAATCATTTCAATAATATAAGTGGTATTCTTAGCTCATAGGCCATAGGAAAATATTTAGGGTGAGAAAAAAAGTTGTAGTTTGCTGACTCCTGATATATAGCTTAGGTGAGGTTTTTGTTTTGTTTTGTATTGTTTTTTTTGTTGTTTTTTTTTTTCTGGTTTTTTGAGACTGGGTCTCACTTAGTAGTGAGACTGACCTGAAACTTACTATGCAGCCCAGGCTGGTCTCAAACTCACAGCAATCCTCCTGCCTCAGTCTCCGGAGTGCTGGGATTACAGGCGTGCAACACCACGCCCGGCTAGGTGAGGTTTTAATGGAAATACGTATACAATGGTCATTTCATACTAGATTTATGATGCAGTGACCACTCTCTGATTCATAAATGCAAATTTTTGTTTGTTTTTTGAGACACGGTCTTGTATGCAGTTTAGGCTGTCCTTAAATTCACTATGTAGCCCACGCAGGCCTTGAACTCACAGTGATTCTCCCGTCTCAGCCTCTGGGAGTGTTGGGATTACAGGTGTGCCATCATACCCCACTCAATGCCTAACTTTCTAGATGAGAAATGGAAAGAAAGTTCATAAGGCCTGTCCAGCTATACTGAACTACAGAATAGGCTATAAATTCTACTTCTAAAATTTATCACAAGGAAACAATCATGATTGCACCCAAAAACTTGAAAGCAAAGACTATTATCCCATCCTAGATTATACTAATGAAAAAAACTACACATTCAAATATCAAGCCAGGAATGGTGGTGTGCACCTGTAATCACAGCACTAGAGAAGCTGATGCAGGAGGACTGCCACAAATTCAAGGCACCCTGGGCTACACAGTGAGTTCAAGGCCAGCCTGAACTACATAGTGAGACCCTATCTCAAAAAAACAAAGCAAACAAAAAATCCAATAAAGAAGAGTGGCTCAAACATCTGAAGTCATCCAAAGGATTGAATACTATGCATTCATGTCAACCATTATCATGTGGTCTAGAGACAGAAAGCAAATATAGCCAGATACTAACAACTTGTGAACTGCATTGAAGGCTCTACGGGTATTCACTGTCAACTCTTCTCTATGTTTGAAATGTGAAAGTTGTAAATGTTAAATAAAAAATTTTTTAAGTTAATAAACTTGTACAGAGCCATCCCAGCCCATCTGAACTATATTCTTCCTGTAAAGACAATACATGTTTCCTTCTCTTTTCTTGTAGGAAAGTAGTATGGATTAACAGGATAATATTTGTTCTAATGACCTATTGTCCATTTCAAAATCAAATTTAATTTTAACCAAAAGTAACACGAAAGGGCCTGGGATTTAGCTCAGTGGTTCTGCCACCTGCCTCGCAAGTGCAAGGTCCTGAGTTCAATCCTTGGTACAAAATTAAAAAGTATTATAAAAAGTAACATGAGATTTGTGTTGTTTTGTTTTTGTTTTTTGAGACTGGGTCTCACTGTGTAGTTCAGACTGGCCTTGAATTTGTGGCAATCCTCCTGCCTCAGCTTTGGGATTACAGGAATGCACCACCACCCCTGGTTTAACAAGAGATATTTTAAAAATTGATTTGTTCTCAAGGGCTGGGGATTTAGCCCAGTGGTTCTGCCACCTGCCTTGCAAGCCCAAGGACCCAAGTTTGTCCCCGGCACCAAAAACACAAAACAAAAAAAAGATTTGTTCTCAATGTTTCCTTAAAAAATCACTTTCTTTGAAAAGCAAAGAAAAGCTTGGTTTGCTTAGGTTTTCCACATTTGAAGAAGGAAAAAAACAAAACAGCCAGGCGTGGTGGCGCACGCCTGTAATCTCAGCACTCAGGAGGCTGACGCAGGAAGATTGCTGTGAGTTCCAGGTCAGTCTCAACTACATAGTGAGACCCTGTCTCAAAGGACCAAAAAAAAAAAAAAAAAAAAACCACCTTGCTTTTACATATCAAAAGCACAGATTATGTGGGAATAGCATTTGCGAAATTCCTAGTGTCTGGGTTCTCCAGGTTCACTCAGTGAGTTGCTGGACTAGATGCTATTTGAAAATCTAATAACCAAAGCAAAAGTATTCACTCAACTTCATAAAAGTAACTTCATAAATCGGGCCAGGGATTTAATTCAGTGGTTCCACTGCCTGCTTCGCAAGCGCAAGGTCCTGAGTTACCCCCGGGACAAAAACAAAAACAAACTAAAAAACCCCCCAAAACAAAAAAAATTAACTTCATAAAAAATTTACACGTTTAGCCAGGCGTGGTGGCGCACGCCTGTAATCCCAGCATTTAGGAGGCTGAGGCAGGAGGATCGCTGTGAATTTGAGACCAGGCTGGGCTACATAGTGAGTTCCAGGTCAGTCTCAACTACATAGTGAGACCCTGTCTCAAAAAACCAAAAAAAAAAAAAACAAACAAACAAAAAAAAAAAGCAGAAACAAAAACAAAACAAAACAAAACAAAAAACACCTTACACATTTAAATAAAGTATAGAAGCCACTCCTAACTAAAATTAGCCTATCCTCAGCGGAGGACTTCAGCGACCAATCCTTTGACTATTAAGTGAGGTAATACAGGCATAGTGCTTTGCCATTTTCCACTTGACTTATGGATTGTGGCACACGGAGTTGGGAGTCATTAAAGATTAACTTTAGAAAATTTGTCTCCGTTTAAATTTTTAAAAAATGTTCATAATTACCATTACTGGGAGTGAAAGCCAAACTTCCTTGTAAACAATCAATATCCAGACCAACAGATCACAGGGAATATCCTTCTTTTCTCAGACTAGAAGCATAGTCAATTCCTGCCCAGTTGCTATCAAAGCCCAACTCTCTCCCTCGCCCCTGTAGTGCGGATTAAACCTAGCCTAGGGCATTCAGTTACATCTTCAGTCCCTTTTTATTTTTTATTTATTGTGAGACAGGGTCACGCTAAATCGCCTAGTTGCCTGGGCTGGGATCGAATTTGCGATCCTCCTGCTTTAGCCCCCTAGTGTGGTGGGATTAAAGGCGTGCGCTCAAGGCCCTACATTTTCAATTCGAAATGTTTCACTGCTTCCTACCTCTCCCGGTGCGTCTTACCTCCCTCAGCACCCGCCAAATCCCATTAAACTCCACCTCCATCTGTCAAGCGCGCTTTCCACAGGCTCCGCGCCCCACATTCACATTCCCCCATTGGCCGGTTCGAGCCAGACAGTCCCTGCTCCCACGCTCTTCAGTCTTCCGAGATCTCCGGAAATCTGTAAAGCCCGCCCCTCTCCTCTTCCCATTGGCCAGTCTTCTTGTGTTCAGTACTGCCCCGCCTCAACTGGCTATTTGGTTGGTCAGCACGTTTGCTCGTACGTCATTTATCCGCGCCACCCGGAAGCCACGGTTCAAACCAATATTTCTTATTGCCGGCGGCCCAAAGGTAAGGGCCGCGTTTGGGTGTTCTTGGGTCAACGAGTCCCAGAGCTGGGAGGGCCAGGAGGCAGAACCCCCCCCAGCATGTGCCGTACAAGCCTTATCCGAACGTTGAGAGGGTGATGAATTGTGGTGATGCCAAATTGGCATGGTCAACGTGGCCTTCCTCCTTCCCACTCCCCAGGAGCTCATCATGGCGACGCCCCCTAAACGGCGGGCGGTGGACGCCACCAGGGAGAAAGTGCTGCGCTATGAGGCCTTCATCAGTGACGTGTTGCAGCGGGACTTGCGGTGAGTGACAGTGCGGGGGGCGTGGCGTTTGGAACATCCTACGTGGTGGGTGGGGCGTTTAGAGTCAGAGCCAATCATTCGGATTGGTGAGTTGGGCGTCAGATCCCAGGCGCAGCTCGGGGAGGAGTGTGAGGGGGGCTGTCCAGGATGTAGAGTTGGCTGAGCAGGCATATCTGCGCATGCGCGACTTAGGGTAGGTGTTTTTATTTATTTTATGTTTTGGATTAGTGATAGATTTCTCAAGCAAGTTCTCAGGTTCGAGTCCTACAGTGGCCACTTTGTCGTTCTAAACACGTTATACATCACCCAGCCTCTCCTTTCTCTTGCCTTGTAAACTTTATTCATATGCAAAATAGGGAAGTTTATGGAAGCTTATATGGTGATTTTGAGTTTCCAATGTATTAAGTCTTTGTAAAAAAATTTACCACGCGGTCAGGCTCATGGTTTTGTGCTTTTATTCCCAGCTACTTACACAGGAGGTTCAGGCAGGAGGCTTAAATAGTTCAGGGCCAGCCTGGGCAACAGAGTGAGACCCTATTTTAATAAAAATCAACAAAAAAGGTTGGGAGGATAAAAATAAAAACTAAATAAGATAAAGAATTTATTGGGCTGGGCATGGTGGTGCACGCCTGTAATCCCAGCACTGGGGAGGCTGAGGCAGGAAGATCTCTGAATTCAAGGCCAGCCCAAACTACTTAGCGAAAAATTCTTTCAAGAAAAAGAATTTATTGCAGATGCCTGAAACATACCAGAGTCTCAATGAGTGTGAAGAACTGTTGTTGCTATCATTATTAATCTGAACAGGAAGTAAAGTATTCAAATCTAGGACCCTGTGAACATACTAAAAGAAATGGGTAATTTTTCTAGGGTGAGGATGGGCCATTTTAATTGGCAGGAGGCATTGAGAGTAAAGTACAATAATAGTAATGAATCATAGCTAACAAATATATCAAATATATAAACTTACATTTGACCAGCATTATTCTAAGTGCTTTATAGTGAACATTTATTTGATCCTAAAGACTCTTCGGAAGTAATACTGTTATCACTGTTTTTTAAATGAGCAAGCCGAATCTGAAATGGATTTTGCTGAGGTCATACAGCTAATAAACAGGAGAGGGTGTGTTGGTTAGAGTCGAACCTAAGCAGTCTAACCCAGAGTCCAAAATCGTTAATTTCAGCAATAAAATCCCTGTTTGGGGCATGATTTAAGGTATTTCCTAAGGGGACAGGTCTGCTTGTTGCTCACCATTATATTTTCATCCTATCAGAAAGGTGCTGGACCACCGAGACAAGGTATATGAGCAGCTGGCCAAATACCTTCAACTGAAAAATGTCATTGAGCGGCTCCAGGTAAAGACTTGAGGGTTAGATACCAATTTTTTTGAAGGAGGGGGAGGGAGATGGGAAGAGAGACCCCAGACCAAGATCTGTCACCTGGCCTAAAAGTTGACCACTGATCCCTACCTCTTTTTCCCTGGCCCCACAGGAAGCTAAGCACTCGGAGTTATATATGCAGGTGGATTTGGGCTGTAACTTCTTCGTTGACACAGTGGTGTGAGTGTCTACCCACCCCTCTGAGCCCACAGGGTTCAGCTTCCCCCTGCCTTCATGTAACAAATATTTGAGTGTCTTCTATATACCAGACACTGTACTAGCTTTTATATTTTGTTAGATATCAGCTAGGCACTGGGAGATGTGACAGTGAATAGATAAAATAGGATAAAATCCCTGCCCTTCCAGAGCCTCTATTTGGGGAAGGGGAGGGAGTAAGAAACATTTTAATAAATTGAGTAGTATACTAAACAGTGATAAGGATTTCTCCACTTCCTTTGACCTCTGTTTCCTCAGCTCTGATACTTCACGCATCTATGTGGCCCTAGGATATGGTTTCTTCCTGGAGTTGACACTGGCAGAAGCTCTCAAGTTCATTGATCGTAAGAGCTCTCTCCTCACAGAGTAAGTCCATTCCATAAGGATAGTGTCTAAAAACACCAACATTACCTGGGGGTGTAGCTTAGTGGTAGAGCATTTGCCTAGCCTACATTAGGCCCTGGGTTCCCTCCTCAGCACTACACCAAAAAAAAAAAAAAAAAAAAAAAAAAATACATATGTATGTCGCAGAGTTCTACAAATCAGTGTTACAAGAAATGCAATAGCAATGCTTGTTAGGGATTTGCTTACTCTGCTCATTTTTTGAAATTTGACATTTGGAAACCTTGGGATATAAGCATGTTTTGGCAGGGGGACTTAGACACCATTTTTAACTCTTCTGCCTTTCTCTGTTGCTACCTGGGATGGTACATAGGGACCTATCTCCCCTTCTCCTCAGGGCTGGGCCTGAGGAAAGTGGGGATGCATGGCTCAGCCCCAGGTATAACGTATAATAAGCATCCAGTAAATGGTCTTTGTATCATTCATTCACAGAACATTTATTGGGTACCTTCTGGATGCCAGGCTCTGTGCTTGGTGGTGGGAAATGCAGCGATGAGTTCCTTGAAGGCTTATATTCTAGAGGGACTTTTCTGTTATGCATACATAAAATTATTACCAGACCCATGAGGTTTCCACCTATAAATCAGTGACAATATAATTCAGTAACAATAAAGCAGGTTACCTTTCACTTCACCCCCTGCTAGTTTTCCTGCTCATTCACTGTGCTTTCACTACACAGACCTTCAAATATTTCTTAAACCCCCCAAATGACCCAACTTTGGGCCATATGCAATGGCTGGTCTCTGTCTGCAATGCTCTTCAATGTAGCTTCCTTTTCACTCAGTTGTCTCACTTAAATATCACTTCAAGTAGACCCTCTGTATCTGGACTTTAAAACTGCAACTCCTAGCACTCTTTTTTAAAAATAAATTTTATTTTATCCCTTTCCCACCCTTACATCTTTGTAGCACTCTTGATTCCCTTTCTTCCACTTTTTCTTTTTCCCTGCACTTACCACCTTTTAATCTTTACTGTGTAATTTCTTTCTTTTTCATATTCATCTCCTCTAGTTAGGTGATAAGCTTTGTAAAGGGAGTGTTTGTCTGTACCTCATGTAGAATAGTTCTATGTGCTACTATATACTATAGTAGACACTGTGTTTGTTAAATGAATTTAAAAGGGTGTGCTGAAAGCAAATGGAAGTGGTGCTTGAAGCAGATCTGTGTGGGTAGTGGTGGAGAGAAAGTATAGGCTCCAGGTGAGTTTAATTTTTGTGCAGGGAACAGCAGTTGGAGCATGGATGTGGGGTATGAAATGTAGGTAGGAAAGGTCTCCCAAAAGAAGTGATATTTGGGTCATTCGAGTAAATAGCCATAGGGCTATCTGGGAAGAACATTCCTGGTGAAGGGGACTGTGCCCACAGGCTGCCAACTGATAAACATATCTCAGATGGAATGAATGTGGGTGTTGAGCAATAAACTTAGATTGATAACATCTCACAAGCATGAATACCAGTGATCTGACATTTCTTCTTGGTTATGTTTATGCCTACATTCATTTCTTCTAGAGTCGCCTCCTTTTATCCTTTCAGACCTCTCTAGAGATTTGGTGTTAGTGGCCCTGAGACCTGCTGATACTTCTCAATGTTGATGATCAGACCAGGTAGCAAATAGCTTGATGGGGGGAGGGGGGCTTCTTTCGTGTTCAGCGCAGCTCTGAACTGATGATCCTTTAGACCAATTCCAGTTTCATAACAAAGCTTTCCTTCTTTTGTCATGGGATTTTGGGGTCTTTCAGATAGATTTTAATTTTTTGAGACTTGATATCTTTCCCCCAAATGAGGTATTTTAAGTTGTCAGTGTCTGTCTCTTTTGGTCTTATTGTTATACTTACCTGGTCTTTTTGTATGATGAAAATTGTGGTTGCCTCTCGTATTGCTTTATTAGAATTAGTGCAACTGTCTAAAAGTTTAATCTTTCTAGAAGATGAGGATTTGAGTCTGTAACTGTCCTTCCTATTTGAAATACTTGGTTAACTTGGTACATAAACTTTCTCTTTGATTATATCAGTTCTTCCTGTTTTTAGTGTTTTGTTTTGTTTTGTTTTTTGTGCCAGGGATCAAACTCGGGTCCTTGCATTTGCAAGGCACGCAGTGGAACCACTGAACTATATCCCTGGCCCTTTAGTATATTTTTGAAAGCTAGCATTTCATGAACTTTTTATTTTAATCCTTTCCATTTTTTTTTTCTTTTGGTGCTGGGGAGGTAACTCAGGACCTTGTATATGCGAAGTACACACTCTACCACTGAACTACATCCTCAGCCCTCTCATTTCCTTCTAAGTGAACTCATAGCCTTTCATAGATTAATCATTTTTTGTCCTTTCTTTTGTGGTACTGGTGATCGAATTCAGGACATTGCGCTTGTGAGGCAGGCAAGGTGCCACTGAGCTAAATCCCTGACCCTCATAGACTAATCTTGTATCATTAACTAATATTTTTCTCTTTTTTGATATTCAAATTGCCCCTTAAGAGCTGACCAAGTTCATTCTTGAGTTTGTTTTGTTTTGTTTTATTTTGAGACAGGGTCTTTCCATGTAATTCAGTCTGACCTTGAACTCACTATGTAGCCCAAGATGGCCTTGACCTTGCATTTGGTCCTCCTGCCTCAGCCTCCTGAGTGGTTGGATTACAGATGTGCACCACCATGCATGGTCTCATTCTTGAACTTTTGAGCATTATCCCAGATATTCTTGAAAGTATACATGCTCTCCAACAACAATACCATGATTCATTTCCTATTCCTAAATATAGACTCAAATATCTTTTGAGAACTTCAGGTTCCTCTGAATAGAGTAGTCATTCACTTAATTCATTCAACATCCATTGGGTGCCTACTCTGTTACACACTGTTCTGGTTTCTGGGGATTCAGCAAGGGACAAAACAGACCAAAATCATTGCTACTCTGCAACTACTATTCCAATTAAAGGAGACAGACTATAAACAAGTAAAGGATGTAGTATGGTAGATGTTGACACTGCTATAGAGAAAGAGCACATGATGGAGATTGGAAGCATTGCCTGGGATGGAGCCACTGTAATTTTAAATAGAATGACTGATTAGATGTGGGGTGTGAGAAAAAGAGAGGAGTCTTGGAGCTGTGGGTGTAGGTCAGTGGTAGAGCACTTACCTAGCATGCATGAGGCCCTGGGTTCCATCCCTTGCAGCAGAAAAAGAGAAAGTGAAAATGAGAGGATCTAGGTTTTTACTGAGCAATTAGAAGGATGGAATTTCCATTATTTGAGATTGAGAAGCTGGAAGGAGCAGATTGGGAGAGGAAGATCAGGAATTCAGTCTGGAAACTATAAAATTATTGAACACTGATGTGGATTTTTTTTTGTTGTTTGTTTGTTTGTTTTGTTTTGTTTTGTTGTGAGACAGGATCTCATTATGTACTTGAGACTGATCTGGAACTCACTATGTACCCCAGGCTGGTCTCAAACTCACAGTGATCCTCCTGCCTCAGCTGGGATTACAGATGTGCGCCACCACGCCCAGCTGATGTGGATTTGTTTTGTTTTGTTTTGTTTTGTTTTTGGTACCGGGGATTGAACTCGCGTCCTTGCACTTGCAAGGCAGGCCAGCGAACCACTGAGCTAAATCCCCGGCCCTGATGTGGGTTTTTTGAAGATGTAATTAAAATTCCCAAGTCAAGTTCAGGAGAGAAATCTGGGCTGGCAATATAAATTTGGGAAATGCTGGTATATATTAGGCTCATACTATTTTTTCCAACTTAACATCCTAGCTCATTGTCATTTATTTTTCATAACAACATTGAGTTTTATTTATACCTCAAATTGACTCCCATATTGACAGACACTCACCACAATAGAATCTGCATCCTTTATCATATTATCAAAGCCCTGCTTTAGCTAGCTCCTTCCTACCACTTGGACCTTATCATATATCACCTCCTTTTGCCATTCACTGAATTTGGAACACTCTGACCTCCTAGCTGCTCCTCCAAAATCTTTTTGCTGCCTCTTAGGCTTTCTTTGGAAAAGACCCTCCTGATGCTTAACTCTTACTCCATCTTTAGTTCTTTCTCATTCTTATTTTTCAAAAACACATCATTGACCCTCCATGATATTCTTTCTTTTTTTTCTTGCTATGTAGTTCAGGTTGCCCTTGAACTCTCTATGTAGCCCAGGTTGGCCTTGAAATTGTGGCAGTCCTCTTGCCTTAGCCTCCCAAGTGCTAGGATTGCCAAACCCCACTCAGATTCTTTTTCTTGAAACCTAATTCAAACAGGCTTAGACTAAAGGAACTGACTGGTCTATGTGACTCAATAGTCCAGGGATAATGTTGTTGCAGGCAACTCCAGCCTCCCAGTTCCTTGCACCTTGGCCTCCTCCTTGAGTCCTGTCTTACACTTGACATCGAACTCTTTGGTAAATCCTGTTGGCTCTATCTTCAAAATAACCCCAAATGCAGTTACTTGTTATCTCAACTGCTGCCACTGTCACCTGTCCCTCCATCTCTCATTTGAACTATTGCAGTACATTTCTCAATGCACTTCCTGTCTCTACATTAGCTCTTTATCCTCAGTCACTTCTCTACCCAGAAGCCACATGAATCCTAAACTCCACTCAGTTGCCCCCTCTGCTCACAACACTCCCCTGGCTCCTGCCTCACTTAGCATAAAAGCCAAGGTCTTTACCATGGTCTACGTGATCTGCCTCTCTTATCTCTCTGACCTCACCTCTAACATTCTCCCTTCATTTATTCTTCGGCCATAGTGACCTCTTGACTATAACTCAAACATGCCAGACACGTGCCCACCTTGGTGCCTTTGTATTGGCTGCCCCTTGTGTGTGAAACACATCTGCCACATAATCACACCATCCACTCTTCCCTTTCTTTAAATGTTGACTCAAATGCTCTGTTTAAAATTGCAGTACCCACTTCCCTAACTTCTTATCCTCCCTCGTTCGTCTATTTTTTCTGGTACAGTACTTAACAACTGACATCATATTACATCATATATTTGTCTCTTTTTGCAAGAATTTGAGTTACCTGAGGTTGGAATTTATTTATTTTTTTTTATATTAGGGATCTAACTCAGACCTTGTGCTTGCAAGCCATGTGGTAAAACCACTGAGCTAAATCCCTGGCCATTGAAGTTGGGAATTCTTGCTTTTTGCTGTCATCTCCCCAGTGCTTTAAAACTGCATGGTATATAACATACATTCAGTAATCTTTGAATCGGTGAATCCTAGATGGTGGCTAGCCATGTCTTCATAGAACTGGGCCAGGTGGAAGTCATCCAGAATGTAGGTAGTTCTTGAAATGATGAGGAAGGGTCGTCCTCATAATCATAAGTAGGGCCCACTTTGCCCTTTCTTATTTCTTTTCTCCAGGCTCAGCAACAGCCTCACCAAGGACTCCATGAATATCAAGGCCCATATCCACATGTTGCTAGAGGTGAGAGCAACTCACTCCACTGCCAGATTCTATCTCTAGATGTGTTTAGGATGGTGACTTGAAGAAGGAAAAAGCCAAGGAAGGGAAGGATCATCTTTCCCACCAAACTGGAGCCAGGGAAGGGGAAGCCAGAGGAAGGCCACAGTGAGGCATAGACCCAACATCTGTTTAGTTTCTTCTGTCCTCTTTTGCAGGGACTTCGAGAACTACAAGGCCTGCAGAACTTCCCAGACACGTCTCACCATTGATTTCTTCTTCTCGTCCTCCTCCGACATTAAAGAACCTGAATGCCTTTGAGTCACGTGGCCCTTCTTTTCCCCCTAACCCTTGCTTGTTTCTAAGATGCCCAGTTTCTAAAGCACAAAATTACTGGGATACAGGAGAACCAGTCTCTGTGTAGAAATCTAAAGCACCCCAAAGGCCTGCCTCCAGCTCATTGGCAGTATTTGCCACTTGACTTTTTGTTCTGCCCACTTTTCTGTCACTTGTCAACCTGGGCCCCACCTCACTCTTCCTTTTGCTGAACACCACCTTTGAGAATTCAGGGTGGAGGCTTGTTCACATGACCATCAGTATATCACTCCTGACCCTAAGATTTCCCTTCCACACCCTAGTCGTTTCTTAGGTACCCTACATAATAGCCCACGCCTATCTCTACCTGACCTTGGCCCTGGCCCTGCTTCTGACGGGATCCAATTTAACACCAATAGGCACAGATCCCACCCTTTCTGGTCCAGCCTCTAGTATAGGTTAAGTACTGCTAACCTCCAAAAGAACCAGACTCCACTTTAGCCCAGCTGGACCCTGCCTTCCTCATTGACATTTAGTTTCTGCCATTCAAAGAGCTTTGCTAGTCTGGCAGCTGTCCCGCCCTCATACCTCTGTTAGTTCTAAATTCGTCTTTTCTAGCCAATCACCGTAGAGTTACCCTTGCCTGCCTACTCAGGCCTTGTCCCCACCCTCTCCTTGCTGGCTGCAACGCCCATTACTATATAAGTCCCACTTCCGTTGAGCAGCGTGGCGTGCAGCACCGCCCGCTTAGTATTTTGGCAGCTGTCTAGGAGTCTCTTTTCCTCCAATCAGCTGAAAACAAGGCCCACCTACTCCCTTCCTCATAGGCTAGCTGGCTGCCATCAATCCCTTCTAGGCCAATCAGTGCGAGGTAAGCACCCCCCTCTGAACCCTGTCAACAGCTCACACCCTAGCTGTCTTCTTTGAGCCAATCAGCGTGGAGGACCAGTGAGGCGGACCGCATCTCTCCAGGACTCCATCGGCCGGCAACGGGCCATCACTTCCTTATGAGCCAATCGTGATATATCTCTGTAGGGCAGGGCCCGCCCCCCAGCCCCGGAGCTGTGCGGTAGTGCCAAGGTCTTTGGCCAATCAGCGAGCGGCGGTTCGCTCGGTTCCTCCCTTAGGGGCCCACGTGAGTGGTGGGGAAGAGCAGGGGCGGCTTCTAGG